AGGGACAAATGTGATAATATATAATAAATTACCATATCATCATAATATGCTCAGTAAACACATGTCCTGAGTCAACACTGCTTAATAACAATTTTATGCATACATTATTCTATTAAGTGTGAAACCAGCCTAGGAAATACCATTTTTTTTCTTTCTAACCTACCATATTTAAGTTTGAAGTCAAACGTGTCTTTTTCCTTCCTTTTAGCTGGCCCAGTTCCGGAGCATCCTATCTTCTGCTGAAGGTGAAACACCTTGTCCCATCTTGACCAATCATCGACTTTGTCAGCCACTGAAGGGCAGAGTAGTGAGAACCTAAAGACAGACAGTCAAGATGATTGGCCAGGAGTGGAGCCATTTTATCCAAAGCAAAGTTCCTAAACATAACACCATGTAACAGTTCATAGGAATCAGGAAAAAGTAACTTTGCTTTTAAGCTGTACTACTCAACCTGCCATGTGCTGTTATCATTTCATTGTGCCAGTATGCTGATGTTTTACCGAAATGAATGTATGCACCTCATGCATTATGGATCAAATACTTTTCAATCTGTGCTTTTTAGCTGCTAGCATTTTAAAATATTTTTGCAATAATCTTAACATTTGTATTAAATTGGTTAAACAGCCAGGTGTCAGGGTGGTGAGCAGCCACATAACATAAATACATGTTTGGAATCTTTCATGATTTAGGTAATGACTAGAAGATTCATAGTAAATGCTTGCATTATTTTTACAAAGGAATCACTTCTGTTTATCTAAACCTGAGGTGTTACCAATGATTTGGCCAATGAAAATTGACATGCTTGTCCTTTCTATGTGTTTGATTTGCACTTTATTCAGCTTAAATACTGAGTATTGCTTTTTTCAAGATAAATTGGGCAAGAAAGTCTGTTGCCTCAAAAAAACCCGTTTCCACCAGACCTGTTTATATCAATTGCCTAATGCAGAAACACACATACAATGGAAAGTCCCATACTTCCTGGAGATATAGATGTTTATATTCATCAAGGATATGCTTTATTTCTATGTTCAAGAGGAAAACACCTAACTGAATGTCATGCAATCAGATTGCTATTTTCATCAACCACACAAACTCCTACTAACTTTTCACTAACTGCTGCAAATAAAGCAAAACCAGTGTGAATCAGGGGTTGTCAACCAGGGGTATGCATACCCCGGGGGTACTTGGGCCAGTCCTAGGGGGTATGCTTGGGCAGGCAGGGACAGAGCATTGCCACCTCCCAGGAGCAGGGCTGGGGTTGGGTGAGGGTATCAGCACCCCCATGCAAGGTGGGGAAGCTTGGCCGTTGCTGCCACACACCAGTCCAGTGAGCTTCCCTGCCCTGCAGAGAGGCACTGCTGCCCTCACCCCAGCCTGGTGAGCTTCCCTGCTCTGCCCTGGCCCTGCTCCTGGGAGGCAGCAGTGCTCCATCCCCACCCCATCCCCACCTTGCCTGCTCATCATTCAGCTGCACACTAACCCCCCCAGCCTCTGCTCAGCATTTGGCCACGTGCTATTCCCCCCTCCTGGCGTTCAGCCATGTGCTACGATGCCCCTGCGCCCCCCGCCCCACTTGGCATCCAGCCACCAGGGGTATTTAGACTAAAAAAGGTTGAAACCCCTTGGTGTGGATGTTAGGTTTCTGAATTCAAACTTGCAGAAAGAATAGAAAGATAGCCAACAAATCCCCCAGATTATTAAGACTTTCTTGTGAGCATTTCTGAAACCACGTTGCATGTTGCTGTCTCACTGGAACTATTACTTCATTCATTTAACAGCTGTGTGTAGCATGCACAGGTACATTTCTCATCTTTCTTTTTGATGGGAGTAGTTGGAGAGACAACCTGAACTGATACTGCCTGAGTTAAAGTGAAGTGTCTAGTGATCAAATGTTTTGACATTTTGCAGCAACTTAAGCATTCCTTGAGTTAGACAAACTCCTACCTACCATTTTCCAAGAGTATTGTTGATTGGCTGTAAGCCCTGAAGAGCTCTTTTTCTAATCTTTTAACCCTCATGTATTATACCTCTCCAAAATAAAAGAAGCACTGCCAACCCTCTTCTCAGATGGCACATTATGTACTACAGGACATAACACCATCTATCCCAACCACTACTTTTTTTCCAGTCAATCCCAACCACTACTTTTTTGCAGTCAAAGATATTTTAATTAATTCCTTACATTTTCCCAAAATAAACCTGACAATTTAATAGAACAAAAGAGAAATAAAAAGTTAATGTTGTACCTGAATTGCTTGTGTGATTCTTGTGTTGGAAGACACCTATATTGAACTTTGTAAATAAACCCAGAGATTGTGATGGGCACATCTCAATCCCAGCCCAGCACCAAGATGAGGACCAGGCCCTGGCCCTGGCCTCATACCTGTGCTGCAGATGGCCCTGGCCCAGCAGTGGTGCTGGGCTGGGGCGGGGGGAGG